ACCGGACTCTTAGAGGTAGCTCTTGCAATCTTGGTAGTAGGTACCGGGCCTTTAGAGATAGCACTTGCAATCTTGATAGCAGATACCGAATTTTTAGAGCTAGCACTTGCAATCTTAGTAGTAGATACCGGACTCTTAGAGGTAGCTCTTGCAATCTTGGTAGTAGGTACCGGGCCTTTAGAGATAGCACTTGCAATCTTGATAGCAGATACCGAATTTTTAGAGCTAGCACTTGCAATCTTAGTAGTAGATACCGGACTCTTAGAGGTAGCTCTTGCAATCTTGGTAGTAGGTACCGGGCCTTTAGAGATAGCACTTGCAATCTTGATGGCAGATACCGAATTTTTAGAGCTAGCACTTGCAATCTTAGTAGTAGATACCGGACTCTTAGAAGTAGCTCTTGCAATCATGGTATTAGATACCAAACCTTTAGAGGTAGCTCTTACAATCTTGGTACTAGATACCAAACTTTTAGAGATAGCACTTGCGATCTTAATAGTAGATATCGGACCTTTAAAGATAGCACCTGCATTCTTGGTAGTAGATACCGGACCTTTAAAGATAGCTGCTGCATTCTTGGTAGTAGATACCCGACCTTTAGAAGTAGCTCCTGCAATCTTGGTAGTAGATACCGATCCTTTAGAGGTAGCTCTTGCAAATTTGGAAAAAACTTTAAGAATTGGACGAATTGGACTACGTTTATATTCTCTAGGATGTTTAATGGTTGTAGAATCATGTTCGGGATGATTAGAATGTATAGAGTATTTGGAATTTTTAAAATGGTTAAGATTCGATTTATAATGAAGTTTACGGTGGTTTAAGCCCCGTTTTTTGTGAGTAATTTGATTTTCATTTTGATGAGCGGTAGTTATGGATAGGAATAAAATGAAAGAGAGAGTAAATAAAAAGGGAAAGAAACGAAGTAAAATCATATTGTATGATTTAGAATTCAGAAGGTCACTTAAACTTGGAAAATATAAGGTTCTATTTATACTGAATATCATAATATTATAGCGTATTAATAATTTTGATTTTTGAAACCATTCTTTATTTTTTTCCTTTATATGGGATGTTTTCAGGCACCTAACAAACAGTTGCATAATTGCAATATAATTATTTTACTTGTATTGATATCTAAACTCAAATACAGTCCACTCTCGTTATAGCGGACCCTCTCACTATAGCAGAGTGATACTCTAGAAAAATTTAAAATTATTATTATACTATATAACGCTGTAGCGAATATTCATTATAACGGATAGAATTTTCAAGCTCGATCACTACATTATAATGAGCGTAGAATATATACATATAGGAAAGGATATTACAGTCAAACCTCGATATAATTGCCAGCTTGGAAAACAAGAATCAGGTGATTATAAAAAGTTGTGACTATATAAAGGTCAAATTTTATATGTTTTATATTACAGTATTAACTCGAGTTAAAAAAATAGCGTGATTATATCAAGGTTGTGACTATATCGAGAGTGACTATAACGAGGTCTGACTGTAGTTTAATTGAACTTATTATTGAATTGCTTTTTTTGTAAATATCTATGACAAAATTTCTCAGTTTGATAACTAAAGGAGGAAATGAAAATGAGTTACGTATTTGTTTGTAGCACGGTAATCTTCTTTATGTTATTGCCAACATCATGGAACAAGCTTATTATGTTTGACATTTGGTGTTATGCAATGAATATTATTGCCGTAATTAGATACAGTAATATATACTTAACAAAAATATGTTGATGTTAACGAAATTGATATTAACGAGAGTAAACTGTATATATGTACTTGTAGCTTATTATGATACTGTATAATCGATTAATTAAATTCAAGTGAACTATATAATACCTTTACGTCTTTATATTTCTGGAATAGTCGTATCGATGTATTAAAGGATTTACGTTTTCTGTTTAAATAGTAGCTTGAAAATTTGAAGAAACCGATTTTTCTTTTAGAAAACAAGATATGCCAAATTTTGCATATAAACATCTTTTGTTTTCATCTTACTAAATTTAACAAACTGAATAGTCTTTATTGATTAACAATAGCTCCTAGCTTAATTTTAATCTCACTGAAAGCTTTGAAACAATGTAGCGACACTTACTATTATATTTATGTGACCACAAATTTTAATATGAGGAATCAATTATAACATCTGTTCAAACATTGAAATCATAAAATCAAATCATATTGATTTTATGACTATCTAAATATCCTTTCACTTCAGTTGAGTAAGTTTAATATAAAATGGTTATGAGAATATTCCATAATTTGAAATATTTCGTTTTTTGAAAAATAATTCTAATGAGCATCGTGATTCAATAATCTGAACAGTGCATTTTTTTTTGTTAAAGTATTATCTCAGTTAAAGATGTACACTATATTGTTATGCTGTTTGTATGACGCTTAAGGATGTTGTTCACTTAAGTTGTAAATAAAAATTGATTGTACGTAATATGAATCGTTAACGCCTTTAAACTCCTCAAGCTATTAAAACGATTTGCGTTCAAATTAACAGTATTATGCTGATCCAACATTAATAGATAGACTTTATGTGCGAATATGGCTATATCCTGCACAGATTATTTGAGATTACATTTTAATTTTATTTTGCATATGAAGCTTTTTCAATTCAATTTGTAATCAAACTAAATTTGGGAATAAGTCATGACCAATTGAGTAAAAGTTCCCTGAATTGACCCTTTATGACTTAATCGACAAAGCTAACGACTTGCATAAAGTAGTCAGTCGGCTTACAATATTAAAATTTTATATATAACCAAAATTCTATCATGCCATGCAAACTGAATCGGTTGGTAAAGATCGTCAAAAAAAAGCACGTACGTAGGTGAAGAATAAATTATCATGAGCGAATTAAACATTTTCTTTTTTTTTCTATTTCAGACCGAGCCAGAATAATCAAAATTGGAATTCACTAGTTGGCTATTTCCTTTTAGGGAAAAGTCTAGAGTAGATTACACAAAATCGGCCTTCGTTATTAACGTTATGTTTGGGGTTGGCAGAAATATAGGCAAATTACCTTTCTGACATTTTTATTAATGCACGCAATAGTTTATCGTTATGCACCATTTTAGATGACGCCCTTTTTAGAAGTTTGTGTTACGTATCGGCACAAATAAGTAAACCTAAATTACTGTACGACCGTTAATTTCAAAAAGGCAAAATAAAAATAAAAAAATACATTATACAATACAAATGTTTATTGATAACATATTCTTTTACTATACGAGGCGTAAAAGGCTCAAGGCTATTATTTCCTAACTAGGGATGTTAAGTAGTTTAACACCACTTGGTTAGAATCGTGAACTATTCAATAGAACCAGCTAGTTTAACTAGCTGGCATTAAAAATCGTGGTACCAGGAACGTAGCGCATGGTTTACAGGCAACTATCTGTGTACAAAATCTTGGATGGAATAGTAAAATCGATCATTGGATGTGCAGAACATCACGTACGTATATCTTTCAGTTAGCTTTTTATCCGTTTATGCGATATGAAAATCAACAATTGTGGAGTTCTTTTGATAAAACTTGTGGCTGTGCTCAAGTACAAACGTACGTACGTACGTATATATCTTACAACTTTCGGTAATCAATTCTAGCAATAAAGGTATAGTATGATTTTCCGAATTGTTCATTTTATGAATTTCACGCTTCCTTGAGGTAGACTTATATCTGTTTATGCATGATCCCTCTAGTGAGCAGTTTATTTGCCTTTTTCATTATTTTCAAAAATCTCTTGCTCTGATTTTTACTATTTTTAATATTTTCTAGAAAATGGTCTGATCCGCATGAATATTGTAATTAATTATATGCTTTTAATTGCACAAGATTTATATTTTTTTTACGCGACGTTATGATTAATCTATATGTGCTAATTTTTTTTCGTTTTACCATTAGATTTATAAAGAAAATGAAGATAGAATGAACACAATTGAATAATTTTCCAGTTAATCATGATCGGAAAGCAATTTGGCTCATCAGAATTTGCAAGAATGTTTAAATCAATTGATTTAATTCGGAATAATCTAGATTTATGATTATAAAATTAATAATATCGAACAGTATCTTCATTGAATAATGAATTAGATTTAGATTACGTACTATGTGGTTACTTAAAAAGGATATCGTATTTTGTTTGAATACAAGTTAAAAAAAATCAATTGAGTTTTTCATCACGATCTTGATAAGTTAAACTATCGCTATATTTTCCGTTAATCGGATCGTATATTTAATTAATAAAATATATGGAAGAGTCAATATAACTATAATTTAAGATCCTTATTACTAACATACAGCAGTAGAGGAACTCAACTCAAATATATGAAGCTTCCAACTCTCTGATCATAAAATTTATTATCGTAAAACTAAATAAAAATGGGTTTCACATTGCATTACTTGTAATAGCTTCTGTAAAAAATAATCGCTTATGCTCTTACAGTGTTGCCAAAATAAGCCTTCAAAATATTTATTTCAATTAATTTAAGTATTTTTTTCCCACTGACCAACCAATTGATACATTCACGAATGGTGATATTATGTTTATCTCTGGTAAATATATTGTTGAAAACTCTAAACTACATTTTGCTATTATATATACAAGTGTTGTCAATAATAGAAATCCCAACAGAGAATTTGATATAAATGATTTTTCTGTATGCATTTTGTACTGTGTATACTTGGTGACTAATATTACAATAGACATGACTATTGTCTATCCTCTCTAATTACCAAGATTTAAATATTGAATTACTGTATTTAGGCTCAAATATTAATCTATAAACCAACTACTTTATATTAAAGTTAATTGGGTTTTCAAAGTCTAATAAGATTATTAAAATCACTGATATTAATTATTTAAAAATTTTAATTAATTAATATTAACTTCCTATAGATCTTTTTTACCAAATTAAGAACAAAGAGAAAAAATTTTTTCACAATATCTTTGAATTTTACTAAGTAATTTAAATATTTGCTCTTAAGTAAATTTGTCCTACATTTAATAATTAACTTACAGTAAAAGAGACAACTTTTAAAATAAACATTAAACCTACTCATTTACAAGTAGTGTTTATATGAACCTGAACTGAACTGAACTTTGGTTAAGTTCAGGTTCAGTTCAATTATATTCAATATTGAACTTTTAAGTCAAGTTTATGTTTAGTTTAGGTTCAGTATTAAATAGTGCTTGGCACAATCAAACAAAAATTTGATAGTCAAATACTTGTTAATACTTATATTTAAATCAGATGTTAAATGATTGCAGATTAACCAAAGCTAAATATATACTATTGGTTAATCTGCAATCATTTGATGTCTGACTTAATCACAAATATTAACAAGTATTTGACTGTTAAATTTTTGTTTGAATATGCTAAACACTAGTATTGAACTTTTAAGTCAGATTAATATTCAGTTCAGGTTCAGTATTGAACTTTTAAATCAGGTTCATGTTCAGTTTAGGTTCAGTAGTAGTTCAGTAACAAAATATATTAGAATTTTTAATTTTAAAGGTTTTTAAAAAAAAATCTTTTTTCTTTACTAAGTAAATCTATTTTCAACTTCTAAGAAAAGTTGTAGAAGAGTGTTTTGTGATCAGAATGGCAGTTAAAATATTAAAATTGGTCTAGTAAATCGTGAGATATAAGTATTTTAGTTCTTGTGACTACAGATTTTTTTTATATAAATAAAAAAAAACAAATAGCTATTAAGATAAAACTACTTTTTTCTCACAATCTATTAGGTCAATTTTAATGAATTAACTGTTATTTTTATTGCAAAACACTCCTCTATAACTTTAATTAGAAGTTAAACAGAGATTTACTTAGTAAAAATTTAAAATCAATAATATTTTGCATAATTTTATTAATAAAATTATAAAAAATTATATAATCCTCAAAATTT